ACAAGCGGCCGTGGGGAGGCCAAATCTAAGCGCGCAAGCCCGTGCTGGGGGGGGGGACCCTGGTGGGCCCGCACCAAGTCACTCTGGCGAAGGGCCACGCTTACGCGCAGCCGAGCTGAAGGTGTCCTGCTTCACCTGGAACACCTCGCCGTGCTTGTCCGCGAACCTAGAGGCCTCCTAGATGGGGTCCGAGCAGATGGGATGGAAGGACCGCGCCGCATCGCCAATGCATCGCCGATGCATCGGCGATGCATCGGCGATGCATCAGCGACGCCGGAGATGCGTCGGCGACGTCGGCGTGCATCGTCGACGCCTCGGCGATGCGGCGCGATCCCCCGGCCCCTGCCTACTCGGACCTCATCTGGGAGGCCTAGAGTAGGGCGACGACATCTATACATATCCACTGCTCCTGGCCAGGCCCATCCTGGGCCCAGGAGCTGTGTATATGCCTCCCTGGCCAGGCCAGGAGGGCGTATACACCGCTCCTGGGCCCAGGATTGGCCTGGCCAGGAGCAGTGGATATGCATAGATCTCGTCGCCCTATAGAGAACCACTTGTCACCGCCGAGCTGGGCGCAGCCGGTCTTGGCGACGTCGAGGTCGGCCTCCGCCTTGAGCGCGCGCTCGCGGGCGCGCGCTCGCGGGCGCCGTGGGGGCGCTCCGCCGACTCCTCCGCGTCCAGGGCGACGGACCCCACGACGGCGAGCGCCGTCAGCATCGCCGCCAGCACACGCGCCATTGCGATAGGCCCAGCGCGGGCGCAAGGGCGGGTCTGTTCTCGGAGGCGGCGGGGGGGGTCCGAACTGGACGGGCCCCGGGAGAACAGGTCGAGAGGAGGAGATATAAAGACAGATCCGCTCAAACTCATTCCCCGGACCCCTCCCAGGGTCCACCTGTCCTGTTGCAGTCTTCCGACCTGGATCCGTCATTGGCAGTCCTATAGGACCCCAAAGCGGCTCCTGGGGATAGAAAGACTCCCCTCAAAAAAAACCTTGTCGTACCCAGCACCTCAAAGCTGCCCCCCCCCTTCCCCCGTCCTGCTGGCCAGAACAAATGCTGGGCCACCTCAGACCCCCAGCCGACTCCGAGCCTGTTCTGTAGCAGGTGCGAAGAGAAAGTGATTCAGGGCAACTGGGCCGAAGCGGCCAGACAGGGGCTCGGGCGCGAATAAATGAGGGGAGGCGATCAGTGGGGGGGGGAGAAAGGTGCCCTTTTCGGGCCCTGGGGGCCCCCTCTGGGGCCCTAAAGGACTCCTTTTCTGCAGCCCCCGCTACCCCTCCATTTACCCAGACCCCCGACGCCATGATCTTTTCATAACGTCGATCCCCAAGGGACTCGACCCACTCCCCTGGACCGGCTTCTCATCCTGAATCGTTTTCCACGCTCCGAGAAGCCCGGGGGGGGGGGGTCCCCAGAGGGCAAAAAATTGCGAAGAACCCTCCGTCACGATTCTTTCATTCCCCGAGGGGGTCTGGGCATCGCTCCCCTGGTAATTCGCGCCCCAGGGGCGGGGGCAAGGTGAGAGCCGGAGCGGGCGCCGCAGCAGCAGCAGCAGCAGCAGCAGCAGCGGCAAGAGCGATGATCAGCCGGATGAGCAGACAGAGCAGAGCCGGGCCGCACCGAGCCACGAAGAGCGGCCTGTGGCGGTCGCTACGGGGTGCGTGCTGCATGCACAGGGGAACGGACAATGACAGAAACAAAGAGAAATCGGAGGTCCGCGCGGGTTTCTCGGATCGGCGCTTGACCCCCATGGCGGCGCCTCTGGCGCCGCCCTGGCGCGCTCCGCGCGCCAGGGAAGGGGGTCCAGCGAAGATCCGAGAAATCCGCGCGGACCTCCGAATTTTCATGTTTAGGGGGCAAACAAACCTATCTCGCTTTTGTCCACCCTCGCTTCCAAGAGATACCAAACGATGCCAAACTACGGCCTGTACTAGTCAGGCCGCTTGACGAGGAGGCGCGTGGTATGACTTGGTTTTGCCTGGAAGCGAAAGCGGGGTAGGTAATTCACGCTCTGAATGTTCATGTCATTGCTTGTTTCCCTAATGTGATCGGACCTGTGCCAGGAGACCACCCCTGGAGAACGTGCAGCCCTCCGCCGGCCCAGGCCGAAGAGCACTCGAGGCTGCCCTCCCCCGGGAGGCACACGAGCATCCGACGAGCACGAAGAGCGGCAGGGTACCCTCCCCGAGCCGACCTCAATCCTCCTCCTCCTCCTCCTCCTCCTCCTCCTCCCCCTCCCTCCTCCTCTCCCCTCCTCCTCCTCCTCCTGCCTCCTCTCCTCCTCCTCCTCCCTCCTCCTCCTCCTCCTCCTCCTCCTCCTCCTCCTCCTCCCCCTCCCAGGTCCGACTGTGTACGCACACGTGTTTGCTACCTCCTGCGACCGGCTCGTCTGGGTCTCCCGGGGCCGCTCCATCGCTGCTTCGAGCATCCCGCGCGGCAGCGGAGGGAGGGCAGCCCACGACCACGACGAGCACGAGTTCAGGCTTCGAGCGGCATCAATGTGCGTCCGCTGTCACAGCACTGGCCAGCGCTGGTGCAGAAGACGACGCAGCACACAGATCTGATCGCGCGTGCTCTGCCGACTGGGGGGAGCCCGTCTGCCTGCCGAAGACCGCTCGCGGCTGGGATCCAACGTCGCACGCGCACCGGCAGCAGAAGAAGATGTGCACGCCGGTCGGAAGAGAGGCAGGTAGAAACATGAAGCAGGAAGGCGGATGAGGTAGATTAGGTTCGGACCCGCCCAAAGAACAAGAAGCAACAGCCAAACCATCTCGACCATTGAATCAGGAAGGCGCTCGAAGGAGAGGAGGAGGAGGAGGAGGAGGAGGAGGAGGAGGAGGAGGATGAGGAGGAGGAGGAGGAGGGAGAGGGAGGAGGAGGGAGAGGGAGGAGGGAGAGGAGGAGGAGGGAGAGGGAGGAGGGAGAGGGAGGAGGGAGAGGGAGGAGGGAGAAGGAAAAGGAGGAGGAGGAGGAGGAGGCGGAAACGATTACTGGGTTCTGGAAATCCAGAACGACCTACTTTCAACGACGGATGGGTGCACCGTCCGGCCGGCATGTGTTCCGCTCGGGCGGCGCGCGCCGAGGGCCGGGGCGAGGGGGGCGGCCGTCCCCGGCAAGGCCCGGAGGGGGGGCATCTGAGAAGCGGGTGGCCCCTGTCAGGGCTGGACCTGAGCAGTGTTTTAGCGGGTGGCCCCTGCCAGGGCTGGACCTGAGCATTGTTTTTAGCTCTGGTTTCGTGCTCGTGTTCGTTTTGCTCCTCCTGCTTTCGTTCGGTGTTCGCTTCGTGTGTTTCGTCCTGCCCCACCCGTTTCCCTGCACCTCCCTGCCAGAACGAAGAACAAAACGCAGCCGACGTCCGGCAAAACAGCGTTTAGGTCCAGCCCTGGCCCCTGTCGCCCGTCTTTCGACAGGTGTGTTGTTCTACTACTCGCAGAGTAGCTACTCGCAACTAGCATGACTCCGCCGTGGAGGATTTACGCTCCATTGCATCGAGGAAGGCATGTTTTTTTCAGACGTTTGCGAGTGGGTACTTTGCGAGTAGTGGAACGCGCTCGGTGAGTCTTGGGAGTCTCCCAGCATGGCCTCGTGGCAGGCAGGGGGGCTTCTGAGAGGCTGGGGTGCTCGCGCCGCTGGGTGTTGGCGACTGGCAGTGGCGCCAGATGCGCGAGGCTGGCCACGACTGCCCTACCCTGGGGCGGCGGACGAGGGCAGAGGACAAGCTGGGTGCGCTCGAGCCGTACAGCGGGGGCCGATCCACAAGAAACCTTCCACAAGAAACCCAACCCTGAGACCCAGGGCGTCCACTGATTTGTGATGTGGGGACGTCGCGTTTTCCATAGCAAAACCGTCGAAACCCAAGAAACCCGGGGCACCCTGGAGGCAAGCAGAGTGTTTCTGGACAGAGTCTCCACTGTATCTGACATCCCACCCCTCCCACGCATCCTTTATCACTGCGATTTGTGCTTTGTACATCCGCCGAATCATAGCGGTCCTAGAACCCCACGCAGGGCCACATTGTGTGATGCATGCTCACAAACGGGGAGCTGCGTACATTGGAGGTGGCGGACGAGCAGGAGCATGAGCAGGAGGCAGAGGAGGGGAAGGAGGAAAGATGACGACGGAACAGCAGTAGCAGCAGCAGGACTGGGAGAAGCGGGAGGAGCAGGATGACCATGGAATGGCAGGAGAGGAGAAAGGAACGGGGCGACAACGATAAGGCACTCGGATCTAGAGAAGTAGCCCGCGCTGCGGCGAGAGCGCCATTCTGAACCATGGGAGCAATACGCCGACTCTAAAACGAGGCCATCGCTGCAGCGGGAACACCATTTTGAGACACCGAACGCTTCCGATGCAACAACCAACATAGAAAACAACTTTTGGAAAGGCGCGCGAGGGGGGCGGGCCACTCCCGGGCCATCTCCAAGGGGAGAGGGGCAAACAGCGTTCACATGCGACAGTGCTGCCGACAGCGACCCCGGCTGCTAGGGAACCCACAGAAGACCTACGCGCTCCACCACACACATGCACACGGGCCCCCCCCACTCCACGATACCACCCTCGTGATACGAACGCTCGCGCAACACATACTCTCGACAGCGTGGATTCATGTACGCGTGCGCCTTTAAAGGCCTCCTAGGTCCTAGATGGCGTCCGACTGGATAGGGTCGGAGGATCGCGCCGCATCACCGATACATCGCCGATACCTCGGCGATGCATCGGCGATGCATCGGCCATGCATCGGCCATGCACTGGCGACGTCGGCAGTGCATCCGCGACGTCGCCGTGGAGAAAATTGTGCCCCACATCGAGCCGCATCGGCCATGCATCGCCCATGCACTGGCGACGTCGGCAATGCATCCGCGACGTCGCCGTGGAGAAAATTGTGCCCCACATCGAGCCGCATCGCCGACGCATCGCCGATGCATCGCCGATGCATCGGCGATGCGGCACGATCCTCCGACCCCGTCTACTCGGACCCCACCTCGGAGGCCTAGAGCTTTTCTCTCGCTCCCGAGCTGCGCTGGCCGAGGGGGGCAGGAAAACCAAGAGAGCAGCAGTAGCCATGCCGATCCCCGCAATCCATCGCCGCCCTCGCCTGCTTATCGCCTCCCGTCCCCCGCCGCCCCTCCGCCCCAGGCCATACCCCTGGAGCCCGGAGGCCCCTGGACCAGGCTCTGGGGAACGGCAGATGGCGAGCTCTGGAGGGAAACGAGAACGGCGACGACGACAACGACGACGACAACGACGGCGATGACGGAAGACTACGCCTCAGAGGAAGGACTGGACAACAACGACGGGGGTGGCAACGACGACGGCGATGCATCGGCGACGCCGACATGAATCAAATCGGGCTCCACATCGAGCCGCATCGCCGATGCATCGCCGATGCGGCGCGATCCTCCGACCCCACCTACTCCGACCCCACCTACGAGGCCTAGAGCCACAGATCCCGCAAGGCGGTGGTCATGATCTTCCCACGCACGACAACCAATCTGCAGAACCACTGCGTGGGCCGTGGCGGTGGTGGCCGCTCCTCGAATGTGGCTTTCCTGGGGCTCTGGTCAGCGAGACGACAACCGCAGCTCCAACTGCTCGTCGTCCTCCTCCTCCTCCTCCTCTTCCTCCTCCTCCTCCTCATCCTCCTCCTCCTCCCCCTCCTCCTCCTCCTCTCCTCCTTCTCCTCCTCCTCCTCCTCCTCCCCCTCCTCCTCCTCCTCCTCCTCCTCCTCCTCCTCATCCTCCTCATCCTCCCCCTCCTACTCCTCCTCCTCCTCCTCCTCCTCCTCCTCCTCCTCCTCCTCCTCTTCCTCCTCCTCTTCCTCCTCCTCCTCCTTTTCCTCCTCCTCCTCCTCCTTTCCTTCCTCCTTTTCCTCCTCCTGCATCGGCACAAACTGTCGGAGGTGCGCACGGACTCCCTGGACTGGCGCTGGGCCCTCCTCCCAGGGGGCGCGGAGCGCGCCAGGGGCGGCCGTCACCCTGGGGAACACAGCGCAATCCACGAAAGGCACGCGGGCCTCCGATGATGCTCTGTGTGAGAGAACGGCGCGACTGCACCGAACCACGTCGCGCTCCCTTCGGGCCCCGCTCCAACGCGGTGCGGTGCATAGTTTCTCGGCTTTCAGGGCCGAGCAGCCGTGCACCGTACCAGTCCTGGGTCGAGGACCGACGACGCCTCGGGAGATGCCAACGCGGCACGGTGCATGCAGGTCCTCCGTGGAGTATGACACATTCTTTCGTCGACCATGCCCCCCAGCAACCCAATCCGCCAAGCCATCTACCCCGCTCACGGGAGGCCCTTACACAAGTCCCATCGCAGCATTTTCCTCACGGAGATGCGCGGGGCTCGCAGTGGGGGTAGTGCTGTGGGGGCCTCGCAGAGTCGACTGGGGCCCTGAGACCCGGCCGCGCGACCGCCGTACTGGCTCCCAGCCTGGAGAACTCAAATTCACCGTCACACCCATCGAAGCAGAGAAACATCATACACCCTGCGAAATGCTTAAGAAATCATGGGTTAAGAAATTCATAGTCTCAGAACTTGAATAAAAACCCAACATTTCCATTAAACTCTTAGGATTTTCATTGAAAAATTAAGAATAATCGAGACTCTGGCCGAAAACTTAAGTTTTCTTAAGCATCGCCTGGAGTGTACGCATACACTTTCGGAAGCTCACGCCGACATCTTGGGTCGGCGGCGGAGCGCGCCAGGGGCGGCGCCGGAGGCGCCGTCGGGGGGGTCCAGCGGCGATCCAGGAAATCCGAGCGGACCTCTGAAAGGTCATGTTTATGCAGTTCATCTGATTCGAGCTACGCCTGGGAGACGCTCGGCATCACACCTGCATCTGCACGTCTGGGATGTCGATGAAGCTGCTCTGCATCTGCGTTACCTTGCCGAGGCAGTGCCACGCGGCGAAGACGCGGCCCAGTTGCAGTGCAAAGCGCAGTGCCAGGAGTGCCAGATCGGCGCCCTCTATCTCGTCGACTTCTCGCGCAGTAGGCGCAGTGAAACCCCTCGGGTGGGCCAGCATCCACGAGGTTGCAGTGAGCAGGAGAATTGTTGCATCTAGCATCGACCAGAAACTTCTGAACATATTATGAACGCCCTGGACGATGACCGAGGTAAAGACCTCGACCGCGAGGGCCCAGCCTACAAAAATCCAGCAATACGTCTGCCACACGCCCCCGTCCAAGACGGACGGGGAGCAGGAGGAGCACAGCTGCCCCATCGCCCCTGGCGAGAGGGAAGGGGCTGGGGGAGGGAAGGGGGCGGGGGGGAGCGGGAAGGAGTAGGGAAGGGAGAGAGGGAAGTGGGGGGGGAGGGGAAGGGGGAGGGGAGGGGAGGGAAGGAGGAGGGAAGGGAGAGGGGGAGGGGAGGGGGGGGTAGTTGGCGGGAAGGGAAGGGGGAGAGGGAGGAGGAGAATCGAGGCTCCTGGGGCCCCTGGCCCCCTCTGGGGCCCGTGGAGGCCGAGGCGGTGGGGCCGGCGCGCCCCTCTCTGCCGCCCCGGCTGGAGTGCATCCGCCCCGGAGGGCTCTTGGCGTCGGAGGTGAGCATGCCGAGCAGCGTGGACAGGAAGGCCAGCGTGGCCAGCCCGGCGCAGAGCAGGCAGTAGACCAGACGGGCGGGGCGGCCACAGAGCCGCAGCCATCCCCCCCCAGGGGTCGGGAGGGGGGGGGGAGGGGGCCAGGACGAGGAGGAGGATTGGCGATTGGATTTGTTTTTGTTGTTCTCTCTCTCTCTCTCTCTCTCTCTGATTCTCTCTCTCTCTCTTTTTCCCTCTCTATCTCCCTATGTCCTCTCTCATTCTCTCTCTCTCTCTCTCTCTCGCTCTCTTTCTCTCGCATTCTCTCTCTCTCTCGCTCTCTCGCTCTCTCTCTTCCCTCGCTCACTCTGTCTCTCCTATCTCTCTCTCTCTCTATCTCCAATGTGTCATCCCGATGTTGCTTGGTTGACGCTCCGAAGGCCCGGTGAGGGCCCCTAAAACCTCCCGCTTTGTTTTTTTCACCACGCGAGGGGCTCTAGACTCTCGCTGCCCGCGCTTCTAACGGGGGCCCAGGGAGACACAACTAGATCGAGGCAAATGCCACTGTCCCCCACATTCCGTATTCTCACATGCTTCCTGAACGTTCCTCTTCCCCTCCATTTCCCACCTTTTTCCGACGTCTTCGTGCAATTCAGCGGTTGCTTGTGTTTGTGCCGATGTTCCCTCCTGAGGTTGCGGCCCTGCCCGCCCCGGGATAGGGGCGCTGCAGGCGCAGCAGCAGGATGCAGTGCCTCAGCAGCTCCGTCCTGCAGGGCCCGAGGTCCTTCTTGCTTCGGTCACAACTCATGGGAGCCTCCCATGCCACCTTGCTCGCTCATGCGAGTCGACGCTGACCGACGCTGATCGATTATAGTCGACGCTAATCGATGCGAAATCGACGCTCATCAACGCTAAGTCGGCGTTCTCTCATCGAACACCAGACGCCAACGCACTCTGGACGTGCAGCTTCAAGGACCTAAAATAGGAGCTCGACCACAAGATACCTTCCACAAGAAACTCACCCCTGAGACCCCAGGACGTCCATGGATCCTTGGTGCGGGAACGCGCCACGCTTTCCGCTGCAGAACCATCAGAACCCAAGAAACCCAGGGCACCCTGGAGGCAGGCAGGGTTGGGCGCCCGAGTTATCCGGGGTAACTCGGGTCCGGGGTAACTCGGGCTTGGGTTCCCGAAAAACGAACCCGAGTTATCCCTGACCCGCGTTACCCCTGATGATTCGGGGCTCTGGCAGGGTGTCTCTCGGCATGGGGTTCCGCCGTGCACGGCGCCCGTGACTTGCCACCGAACTTCTTGCTGCTCCAGGCCTCCAGCTCGTCCGACACCCTCTTGGAGGAGGCCATCGGCCCCCCGCGCCCGGGGCACGCGCGCCCCCTCTTCGCCGCCCCGAAGGGGCCGCAGGGCTCCCCCTGGAGCGCCGCTCCGCGCGGGGGGGAGGAGGGCCCGGCACTCCAGGCAGACCTTGTGGGACTGGAAGGATGGGCAGATTTCCCACCACCACAGCCACAGGTAGGAGGAGGAGGAGGAGGAGGAGGAGGAGGAGGAAAGGAGGAGGAGGAAAGGAGGAGGAGGAGGAGGAGGACCTCCCCATCCTCCCTTCTGCCCTGCCCTAGCTATGGTAGTGCTGGCGGGAATTTGGCCCATCGGGAAGAAGAGCAAACTGCATAAACATCAACTTTCAAGCTCCCGCGCGGGTTTTTTGGATCGGTGCTGGGTTCCCTGACGGCGACTCCGTCGCGGCCCCCAGCGCGCTCCGCGCGCCAAGGAGGGGAATCCAGCGCTGACTCAAGAAATCCTCGCGGAGCTCCAAACATTATGTTGATGCAGTTATTCGTTCTTCGATGAACGCCCGAAATGGGAACAGGACAAATGGGCATGACACCCAACAGCAAACGTTGCCCAAAACCGAGAGCTGCCGCTCATGGGCGGCGTTGCCTTCTGTATCACATGGGCAACGTCGGTGGCGACACCGATTATGGATCCGACTCAAACGGAACAAGACATGCTGCTGGCATCTGTGCCATCCCAGAGTAAAAGATCGACTACGAGAGTGCCTTATCCCAGATGGAAATTTTTCGTCGGATCTACAAGAAATAATAAGCATACTGTTCGTAGATATACGAACGTTCTGCGCCTTCTTCACAAATTCGACGATATGTTTTCGATTTTGGGATGAATCAATTCTGCAGTCGACCTCCCGCTCGAACAATTGTCCATTTCGATCGTCCCGACCCGCGCGAGCCCCTGCTGCCTGGCGCCCGCCGGCCGGCGCTCTCTGGCGGCGTGCACAGAGGGGTCATGGGGAAGGGGGGAAGGCTTAAGTCGGACGTTTCCCCCTACAGGGGGATTTTCGACGAAAAATGACAAATACCAAACAAATATTCTAAAATGACAAGAAATGCTCAAACAATAGTCCCCAGACTATGTTTCTCCTATCTTTGAATATTCCTCCTGTAGAGGGACTGGTCCGACTTAAGGGAAGGCTTCTGAAAGGAGGCGGCTGCCACCGAGAGGGCGCCCGCCCGACATCTGTACACGAGGCCCGCGCCTCCAATCGGCGGCGAGCGAGGGGTGGATTGGAGAGGGAGAAGGCCTTCTCAGAAGGCGGCGAGGCCTCAGAGGCTTTCGGTGTCTTCGGGGAAGGCTTAGAAAACCTCACAGAAGGCCCGAGACGAGACGACGAGCGACCACGTGACGTGATTGCTTCCTCTTCAAGACACGCCACTGCAGTAACGATCATAGTTCGGAATATTGGTGGCTAAACCAATACGAGAACTCCCGAGCCTTCCGGGAAGGCCCGCCCCTCCCCACTTCCCACTTCCCCCCCGAGCTCGCCGCCGACTCCAAGAAGCAGGGGTACGTACTTCGTAGAAGCCTTCCCCCCTCACCCGGGACGACGACGACGACGACGACGACGACGACGACCACAGCGACGCGACGACGACCGAGACGACGACGACCACCACCACGACGACCGCGACGACGACCGAGACGACCACGACGACCACCACGACGACCGCGACGACGACCACCACGACGACCGCGACGACGACCGCGACGACGACGACGACGACGACGACGACGACGACGAGCGCCCGCGCGCGCGCCGCGGAGCGGCCGCGCCCCCCGCGCTTCGGCGGGGGCGGCGGGGGGCGGCCGTCGGGGCGGTGCCCGCTCGGGCGGCAACGGCTGCGGTAGGCCACCCGCGGGGGCACTCCGGGCACTCTGGGCAGAGCGGCCCGGCGAGCCCTTGGTCGGGCGAGGGGAGGAGGAGGAGGAGGAGGAGGAGGGGGAGGAGGAGGGAGGAGAGGAGGAGGAGGAGGAGGAGGAGGAGGAGGAGGACGGGGAGGAGGAGGAGGAGGAGGAGGAGGACGGGAGGAGGAGGAGGAGGAGGGGGACGGGGAGGAGGAGGAGGAGGAGGAGAGGAGGGAGGAGGAGAGGAGGACGAGGAGGACGAGGAGGAGGAGGAGGAGGAGGAGGAGGACGAGGAGGAGAGGAGGAGGAGGAGGACGAAGCGGAGGGTGCGCCTGTGCCCTCAGATGCTGGCGCTGCCTTCTGGCTTTCGCACCGGGCGCGTTCGCCCAGCCTCGGGCCCTGGGGCCCCCACAGATCGATGCAGCTGGCAGCAAGATGCCGCAGAACGATAGGGTCGAGGCGTTGACCTAAGGAACCCTAAATAAGGAACGGGGCCCCATTTTAAATGGGGCCCCGTTCCTCCTCCTCACTCCTCCTCCTCCTTCTCCTCCTCCGGCCCAAAACCGGCCCCCCAAAACCGGACCGTCCCGCGCGACCGCCGAACCGAACCGGCATAATCGACCCGGACTGGCAAAACCGGACCGACCAAAACCGGACCGGCGCCGAAATCGAACCGCTGCAACCGAACCGGTCCGCCGCCGAACCGGCCCGAACCGGACACTTCCTGCATTTTTCCATAAGTCAAACTTTGATTTCCCATCGAAAACCTAAGGAAATCCTCAGGCGAGCTGCAAAACAGTGAAGGAACACGGGGCCCCTCCCCAACGAGAAGGGTTCCTTCTTCAGGCCCCCGACTGTAGGGTCTAGGGCTCGGACCTCAGGCGATGCATGAACGCCGATCCTGACCAGGCCCATCCTGGGCCCAGGATGGGCCTGGCCAGGATCGGCGCGCGCACACTTCTCTTCCCTCTACAAGACCTGCCCAAGTGCGAAGGCTTACGGCTCTGCAAGCGAGAGAAAGCCTTAAATGAGGAGCAACCGTGGGCGGGCCTCGAGAGACCCGTTAGAATCCAAGGCCCCCGACGCCGTGACTCTTGCACAGAGTGGGCCCCCGGAGCTATGGACCCCTTCCCCGGGGCCGACGTTTCATCCTTTGCACGGTCCCGAAACCCACGCAGGCCGAAAAACGCAGCGTCCTTTCTTTCCACGGTCCCGGAACCCACGCAGACCGTTTCACCGATTCCTGCCCCCACTGGCGTGGGCTGGGCCTCACGGGCCGATATCACCCCAGACGTAGGCTGCTCCCTTCCGGTTCCGGTCTCGAAGGGTATGCCATTCCCAACTTGGGCGGCGTGATGAGGATGGGGATGAGTTCGAAGATGCCCGCCCGTCGGAAACGCTGTACTGGGTGGGGGGGTGCACGCGGGCTCCGCCACTGGGACCTTCTGGGGCCACGAAGCGCCGTGCTGGGCGGAGGAAACGCATGCGAGCTGCGCCGCTGGGACCTTCGGTGGAACTCCCTATGGGGCCACGAAGCGCTGTACTGGATGGGGGGACGCATGCGAGTTCCACCACTGGGACCTTCGGTGGAGCTCCCTATGGCGCAACGAATCGCTGTACTGGGCGGGGGGGACGCATGCGAGTTCCGCCACTGGGACCTTTCGGTGGAGCTCCCTATGGCGCAGCGAAACGCCGTTCTGGGCGGGGGGGGCGCGTGCGAGTTCTTCCACTGGGATCTTTCGGTGGAGCTCCCTATGAGGCCACGAGAAGCTGCACTGGGCGGGGGGGACGCATGCGAGTTCTGCTTCTGGGACTGTCGGTGGAGCTCCCTACGGCGCAACGGAGCGCTGTACTGGGCGGGGGGGACGCACGCGAGTTCCGCCACTAGGACCTTCGGTGAAGCTCCCTATGGTGCCACGAATCGCTGGCACTGGGCGGGGGGGGCGCATGCGAGCTCCACCACTGGGACCTTCGTGGAGCTCCCTATGGCGCAACGAATCGCTGTACTGGGCGGGGGGGCGCATCGAGTTCCACCACTGGGACCTTTCGGTGGAGCTCCCTACGGCGCAACGGAGCGCTGTACTGGGCGGGGGGGACGCACGCGAGTTCCGCCACTAGGACCTTCGGTGAAGCTCCCTATGGTGCCACGAATCGCTGGCACTGGGCGGGGGGGGCGCATGCGAGTTCCGCCACTGGAACCTTCGGTGGAGCTCCCTATGAACCCACGAGGAACTGTACCGGGCGGGGGGGACGCATGCGAGTTCCGCCACTGGGACCTTCGGTGGAGCTCCCTGGCGCAACGAATCGCTGTACTGGGCGGGGCGACGCATGCGAGTTCCGCCACTGGGACCTTCGGTGGAGCTCCCCATGAAGCCACGAAGCGCTGTACTGGGTGTGCCGAAACAAAGACATGTGGATGGCAACGGCAAGGAGGGGGAGGGGGAGGGAGAGGAAGGACCGCGGAGCGCTGTCACTTCACAAAACGAGGACCCAACACCACAAGATGGTTGGGAACAAGAACGGTAGGAAGACGCAGCCGGGGACGTGAGGAAGAGGGGGGGAGGGGGCAAGGCAACGGGGAGGAATCAGGGGGATGCGGGGGGGGGCGAAGAGGAAAGGAACGCGGAGAAGGGGAGCGGGACAGCGGGATGGCGAGGAGGGGAAAAGGCCAGGACGGGGAGGGTGACTGGGGCAATGTAGGAGGGTGAATGAACGTATGGCATCCAGGAAACGGCCCAGAGCCCGCCGTCGCCCGGAAGTCCATCTCCAATGCATGTTTGGGTCTCGCGCGTGTTTTTGTTGGCCCGGTGGTCGAGGATGCTCCTCGCAGGTGCTCACCGAGGAAAACAATGCACACGTCCAAGCGATGTCAGGACAGCACGTGCGCCGATCCCTGAAGGCTGGCTCTGGCCCGGCCGAGCGGGCGGGCGGATCAGCGGCGCTGGTGGGCGAGCGCGCTCCCTCTGCAGCCAAGCTCCCGCTCCCCCTCCCCCTCCCCGTCCCCGTCCTCGTCCTCGCCCCTTCTCCTCCGCGCCTCCTCCCTCCTCCTCGTCAAATTCCTCCTCCACCTTCCCCCCTTCCCCTCCTGCTCGTCCTCCTCCTCCCCCCCCGTCTTCTCATCTTCCTCTTCCTCCTACTGCTCCCCCCCCTCCGCACTTCCTCGCGGCTCCAGCGCGCGCGCGTGCGCGCACGGGGACGAGTGAGCAGGGCTGAGGAGGGGAGAGGCATGAGGCTGACGAGGGGGAACAGGATAATCCGAGTAGATCCAGGGTGCGCGAAACATGCTGTAACACAACCTTCTGTCCTAATCCCACCAGCCCTCCGGGCGTCGGTGGTTTAGAGCGTTTCCTCTTCCACCCCTCCTTCTTCCCCTTCGGGGAGGGGTTTACCCCTCCCCCCACCCTCTCCCCGCTGACCTGGACAGGGGGGGCGGGGAGCGGTCAGAGCGTCCAAAACGGCCTCGCCGAGGAAGCCAAAATCATTGATTTTACAAAAGGTTTTGGCCCCATTTTGAGGCAGCACTAATTGAAGTTCCCCTCTTCTTTGATCGATTTCCTCCAAGATGGCCCCAAGAAGCGCCCAGGAGGCACCAAGAGGCCCCAAGATGGCCCCAAGATGGCCCCAAGAGGCCCCCAGGAGGCCCCCAAGAGGATCCCAAACGGCCCAAAGAGGCCCCCCCGAGGCACCCAAGACGCCGAAAAGCCCCTCAGGACGACCCTTTACTCGCCTGGGCGTCGTTTCTGGACGGGCTGGTGGGGATATTTTTGTTACAGCCGCAGGCGGAAGCGCCAGCGGCGGAAGGTCGCGAACGGGCCGCGGACGCGACTAAATTACCTAACGCGCGCAGGGCCGCGGATCAGGCGGCTCACGGCAGCGTCCAGGGGGCCGAAGCCGGTGCAATCCAGGAGCCATGACAGCCCCTGAACGGGCATGCAGGTGCGTCCAACAGGCCTGAGGTAGGCACCGAGACCACCTAGCGCAGCCAAAATGGCGCGATAACGTTCCAACGTCCAGGTGCGGACAAGGGAACGACCCGAGGACGTCAGCCCCAGCCTGTCGGGTAGCACAGACGACGAGGTGGAAAGTCCAACGAGGATCCCGACGGCGGCAGCGAGCCGCGGCGCCAGAACGACATCAAGGTGCATCCATGTTCCGAGAAGACTACCACACCGAGATGTTTCGGCCCAGACCCAGCGGGTGGAAGGGCACCTGATGCACGCTACCCGTCGAAATGCGGCGTGTGCACACCACAGTGTCACAGTGCAGTCCAAATGGACGGAGAACACAGGCGGAACGAGACCGTGAACCCAGGCAAGCCCCACAGAGCCACTGATCCAGGGTCGCGGTAGGAAGCCGCCCAGCAATGGGAGTCCAGAGGGCACCGATCCATGGAGCCTGAAGGGTACCACAGGCAAACTGGGAACAAGGACCAACGGAAAAAGCTGACGGCGAGCCAGTCGCAACGCAAGAAGCGCATCCAGGGTGTGGAGCATGAAGACAAGACACAACATCCACAACTGAGATGCGACAGCCCAGATCCGACGAGTGGGAGGGCGTGGAAGAGCACGATACACGGCAGACCTCGAGGAGTATGCACATCTAAGGTGGCCCAACCCAACCGAGTCGTCTAGCACAGAGGGACGGGGGCGCCTTGTACCCGAGACGTGTCCCTCAGAGCCAATGGGTCCAGGATGACGGCGGAAGGCCGTGCTTCTTTTTTGCAAGGTCCAGGGTGGCGGCGGAAGGCCGATCGCACGGCTAGAAAGTCCAGGGGGAAGCCAGTGGTCAGGCGAGCCGTGGCCCACTGACAGGCCAGGAAGGGCTGGCATGAGACAACTACAGCAGGGCCTGTGGCCGCGAGTCCACTGCGGAGAAGCGGTGGACGGCATCGCCGAAGCGCGCGCCTGGATCCAAAGGCAGGAGGTGCGCGCATCGGGTGCAGGGCGGCAGAGCGCCGCGATTAGGGGCCCGCGGCGCGGCCCGGGCAGCGCCCGCTGGGATCCAGGAGTGAAACAAGACGGAGGGAGATGAGCCGAGTGACGAGAGGGCGTCGGCCACCGGTGGAGAAAGGCAGCGATGCCAGTGGCAAGTGGTCTGCAGGAGCGCGGCGCCACGCGCGGAGCAGACGGTATTGCCGAACGGCGCCCCAAGGCCAAGGGTGAGAGAGGGTGCCGCTCAGGGGAGGGGAGGCAGAGTTGCCCCAGGTTGAGGGAAAGGGCGGCAGAGGGCCGCGGCGGCGCGTTGCGAAGCGCAGGTGGTGGCGCGGGCACTGGGGGGCGGTGAGGGCAGAGAGGGGGTTCAGTCTTTCCAGCGGAGTCTCTTTCCCTCTCGATCATCCCGATCATCAGGGCAACCTCCGCCGCGCTTGCCACCCGCCTGCCAGTGATCCTCACGCCATCCGTCGCGCCACTCGCCCTGCCAACTGCCCCAGGTGCCCCGGGAACTTGTCGCACGGTCGCGCCAACCCGTGTGGCGATAACCGCCTTTGCTCCAGTCGTCTGTCTGGGAGAGGCACAGGTAGTTGGCTCGCATCTCGTTCCAGTCGATATCATAGCCAAGCCTCCTATTCATCTCGTAGGCGTCGTACCCGCAGTCCTTCCAGGCCTCTAGGAAGTTGATAATATCCGAGGGCATGTGTAGTTTCGGGTCGGACTTAGGCGCCCTCCATCCAGGGAGCAGGGTACGCTGCGTGTTCGCTGTCCACAGTGCGCAAAAGACTGCTCCCAGCTGCGACTGCAGCCTGGATATGCGACTGGCTGGTGTCTCATCGGGACGTTCGAGTTCGACGGTGCCCAGCCTGACTTTGTACATTGGGCCGCCTCCATCAAGGCAGGACAGCATGTTGAGTGCGCCCCGCTCCGAAGACCCAGCATGGCGAGAGTAATGGGGCCTGCGCTCAGGGGGCGTCGGGGTGGGCGCGGGAAAGCGCGCGCCACGAGCCGCCACCGTCGCTGGTTCTCTCGTGCCTCGCGGGGTCTCGAGCTGGAGCCCTCCTGCGGTCGGCGTAGGGCGTGTCTTCTGCAACTGAAGTCGCGGTATCCTCGCGGCTGGTGTCAGAGCTGCCCGCCGACGGGCTACGCTGTGGGCCATCGCCGCCTGATCGATTATCATCACCCTCCTGGGCCGACTCGGAAGGCGTGGGGGGGCGGGCGGGTCCATCCTCTTCGTAGTCGGGCTCCATCTTGTGAAGGGGGGGGGGCGTTTTCCGCGCCTTCACCGCTGTCGTCGTCGGGCGGATCATGGTGGCTCATGCGTGAGTCGTTGTCCGCTGAACCCTGAGACCTGTCTGCGTCGGCCGCCATGGGAGTATCTGGCCTGTCGTCGCCACCAGAACACGCGCCAGATGGCGGGGGCCCTGCCAGGGAAGTGATCTCTGGCGCCGCGCCAGAGCTGCCTGCGGGGCTGGGTCCAGGGGGATTGCTTGCTCCGACCTTGGCGAATTGGTCCTGGGCCTTGGCGTCCTCGCCGAGCCACGGGAGGGAATCCACGATGTCCACGGGTGCCTCGAACCCGATCTGGCTGCTGAGCGGGGAAGGGCCGGAGGTTCATCTGGATGCAGCGGCCTGAAGTCGCGGTCCAGGATGTGGCCCAGGGTGGCCGGGCCAATGTTCCTAATCGGGACCAGACAGCGCCGGCAGCACCAAGTAGCGTTCCATTGGCGCCCCCACCAGGCCAGGGCACGCTCATCGATGGCGGGCAGCCCATGTTGCTCGGGAACTCCTATGTCTTCAGCCGGCTTCCATATGAAGCACCCGAGCGGCGGAGAGCCGGGGTCCCAGACCAGGAGCGGGGCCCCCTGGGGGCAGGTGTCGCACCGCGCGGAGTAGGTCCGCGTTTGGGCGGCTTTGATGCCGAAGCGGTCGTCCCGGATCCGGAGGACCGGAATGGTGGTATTGGCACACTCGGGGATCTTCATGCCCGTCGGTTCCATGAGGAGGTCATCTAACTGCCTCGTGTCCGCCAGGGGGTTGCAGCCGTAGCCGAGCGGAAGGAGTCCCAGGGAAGGGAGGACACTCGCTCTGTCGTTGCCGGTCCCCGATGTCTGCTGCTCATGTGCCCTGATTATGTCGGCGAGCTTCGTTCCGGCAGGCGTAGGGAAGCCATTGTCCTCGAGGTTCCGTATCCAGCAGCCAGCGCAGTACCAGCCCATGTTGGCGCCGTTGATGTACGCCTGAGGTCTATTCTGAAGGACCATCTGGCGCGTGCGGTCGGATATCCAGGTACCTTCAGCGGCAGTCAGGTAGTCCTTCCCGCAACTGTCGCACGTGTATATGTTGTTCTTCTTTTCGAGCGCGAGCCTTTCGTCGGGGATGAACGGAGGGTCCAGTCTGGTGCCCGGGGCCGGTGCCGGTGGTGGAGGGGCATTGAGGTCGGTCTGGGACAAGGCAAGTCCGCCGCCGATGTAGGAAAAGGCCCGCAACCCTGTCGTCGGGACCGAGGGAGGCGTCGGAACCAGCCAGTGCGACGTGTAGGGCACACACTGAGCAGTCGCCCGTGTCCAGGCAGGTCAGAGTTGCTGCCGGGACGATCCGTTCGAGAACGATCATCAGCGCTTGCAGCTGGAAGTCCTGTCTGTCCATCTCGCTCCAGGTCTGCGGGCAGCCGGCTTCCTGCGCAGCCGGGTGGTGATGGGCCAACGCCACGAGCTTGGAGATGTGTGGTAGCACTGCCTCGATGCGACTGTGCAGGTCGGCCAAGTCTTCCAGGGTGAGGCTCCAGGTGCTGGCGAACCGGCTTCGGAAGTCCTGGTGGACCTCTTGCCAGGGTACGCAGAACCCCAGAATGGCTTCGATGACGTCCCCGGCCTGCTCTGCGTGAGAGAAAGGCCATAGAAACACTCGCGGCTCACGGAGCATCAGCATCATGACCACCAGAAGCGAGCGAGCCTTGCAGGAATCCATGGGCTGGCCGTCGGTGTCTAAGACGTCCCTGGCGGAAATCTTCCATCGAGGAGCCGCACCCCCGGATGATGTCTCCCAACCCGGTGATTCCAGGGTGCTTCCGGTGTCTGCAGCAGTCCTTGGTAGCGGAGCTCCAAGCCTTGGGGACCTGACGGAAGAGTCCTTTGGGAGTACACTGGCGGCGCTTCCACAGTGTTGCGCGCCTGCCGCTGGCGTGAGGCAGCGGGGGAAGGGAGTCGTCGGGAATGGCGTAGTTCGCATCCCTCCAGGGGTGCCTAGGCCGAGCGACCAGACCATTGCTGCCCACAGCGTGTTGTAGACTAGATTGGTGGGGATACGCGAAGCGTCTAGAATTTCGCTCCGCGTGATTCCCTGCAAACACTCTTTAAAGGTATGCCTTTCGAACTCAGAAAACTGTGAATTACCCCAGTGCGAACCTACCTAGAAGTTGGAGCCCCTAGGAAAGCAGCATTAGTTGCTATGTTATGATATGCCATGATATGCTGCGCTATGCTATGCTATGATATGAGATGTTATGCTATGCTGTGTTATATTATGTTATGGTATGGTTTGTTATGCGATGCTATGCTATGCAATGCTATGATATGCTGCGATATGCTATGATATGCTAGACTATGATATGATAAGCTATGATATGCCATGCTGCGCGGTGCTATGCTAAGCTATGCTATGCAATGCTATGCTAAGCCGCGCTATGCTATGATATGCTATGATATGCTATGGTATGCTATGATATGCTATGCTATGCTATGCTATGCTGCGCTATTATATGCTATGCCGGGCTATGCTATGACATGCTGGGCTGCGCTATGCTATGCTACGCTATGCTATGCTATGATGTGCTCTGGTATGCTAAAGCTCAGCGAAGCTGAAGGTAAGCTAAGCTAAGATAAACCTGAGCTAAGATGAAGCAAAGCTAAGGTAAGAATAAATAAGCTAAGCTAAGATGAGATAAACAACGCTAAGCTAAGAGGACATAACTGGGGGAACCGCGGGGCGGATCCTGGGGGAACCGCCCGGGGCGGAGCCCACTGCCCGGCCCCTTTAAGCCAAGAGAGTAAGAACCCTCCTAGGCAGAGGCTAGGTAGGGAACTAAATGCTCTGCTTTGGAAATCCGTCGCCCTCTAGCCGTCAGACGTTCAGCATCACGTTTATGGCTCACGGTCCTTCTGGCCACACAATTCCTAGACATCTCACATCAGGTATCAAGTTTGAAGAAGAACCGCCCTCCTTCCTCCATCTGCGTGACTGTAGGAATATGTTTAGACGCACGCGCGGGAAGCAACATCAAGAGCACCAGGGAACGGCACACAGAACAATTCCCGCCCTCCAGCCGTCTAGCTCTTGGGA